TAATTCTTCCTATCCATGAACATGGTATATGCTTCCACTTATATGTATCTTCTTCCATTTCTATCTCCAGTATCTTTTAATTTTACATCCTTGGTTAAATTTATTCCTAGGTATTTTAGTTTTTTTTATGCAGTTGTAAATGGTGTTATCTTTGTAGTTCTCTTTTCTGATAGTTCATTATTGGTGTATAAAATGTGCAACTGGTTTCTGAGTATTTATTTTGTAACCTGCTAGTTTACTATATTCAGTTATCAGTACTTGTAGTTTTTTGATAGAAGTTTAGGGTTCTCTATATACAGTATCAAGTAATTTTCACATATGCATGTCTGCTGGTTGAAATCACATGTATGGGATTTAACAGGTGGGATCCTGGATGCAGACAGTTGGTCCATGTGTCTCATGTGAGAGGATCCCTGAGGTCTTTATCTCTCGACACACAGAGACACCTGCACCCACTTTAGTAGCTGTTCAGCTTCCCTCATCCACATGGACCAGGATTGGTGGATCCCATCCCCTGTCCATAGACATTAGTGGTTTTTCCAATTCTAGTCTATTTCATCAATGCTCTGATGAGTAGTCTCAAAAATATATCTTTGAAAAATTGTGCAAGAATTTCTGTGGGGTAACCTCCTAAGGTAAGCACTGCCAGGTGCAGGTGTGCACCTGTAGAACTTTGACAGGTCCTGTGCACTGTTTTCCCAGAGGAGGGGCCTTTCCCCCTTGTCTCCAGGGGACCTGATGGGGCCTCTCTTTTCTCACTGTCTGCAAGGCTGGTTGCCACCAGACCTAATCAAGTTCAACCCAAAAAGGTCTACATTAAGGCACAGCATAATTAAAATGGCAGAGTTAAAGACAGAGAATCTTAAGAGCAGCAAAAGAAAGACACTTAGTTACCTACCCAGGGGCTCCCATAAGACTGTCAGCTGATTTCTCAACAGAAACATTTCATGCCAGAAGGGATTGGGATGAAATATTTAGAGTGATGAAAAGCAATAACCTACAACCAAGACTACTCTATCCAGCAAGGCTATTGGTTAAAATGGAAAGACAAAGAAATAGCTTCTCAGACAAGAAAAAATAGGAGTTCATTAGCACCCAACCAGTATCACAAGAAATGTAAAAGGGAGTTCTTTAAAAAGGAAAATAAATAAATAAATAAATAAATAAATAAATAAATAAATAAATAAATAAGAGAGGAACATAGTTATAAAGAATAAAATGGCCATAAACATTTATCTATCAATAATTACTCTAAATGTAAAGGATTAAACACTATAATCAAAAGACATATGGTAGCTGAATGGATAAGAAAACAAGACCCATATATATGCTGTGTACAAGAGACCCACCTCAGAGCAAAAGACACACACAGGCTGAAAGTAAAGGAATGGGAAAAAATGTTTCATGAAAATGGAAATGGGAAAAAAAAAAAAAAAAGCTGGGGTAGCAATACTTCTAACAGGCAAAAAGACTTTAAAACAAAGGCTATATAATAAGAGGCAAAAGGGACATTTAAAAAATTTTTTATTGACTTAGAGAGAGAGTAAGGGGAGAGAGAGAGAGAAAAAGAGAGAAAGATCCATTTGTTGCTCTACTTATTTATGCATTCATTGGTTGATTCTTGTATGTGCTCTGACTGGGGATCAAACTCACAACCTTCGAATATTGGGACAACTCTCTAACCAACTGGGCTACCTGGCCATGGCCTTTCACTAAATTAAATGTCATCTGATTCACTTTGTCAAAGTTTAGTTTCCATTTCTGCAGATAAATACTCATACCATAAGCGGTCTTACCTGCTCCTATTTGAAGGGAGGCAACATTTCAGTCAGCATTAACCAGTTTGCCTGGGGGGACTCGAAGCTTCTTGACTTTGTGCACAGTCATTTTCTTTACGGGGTGTCATAACTAGATACAATTTTCAACCCCAATATCTACTCTCTCCAGGACGTCAACTGTGGCAGACTTACATAACCGGTGAATGTGGCCATACAAACATGGAAAGGTGACTTCTATCCCTTGATGCCAAATGAGAAAGAGAAAAGCAAGTTCAGAGAACACAATTATGACTCATCAGAGTCCTAAAGGAAAAGCTTTATGTGAATATAACATCCTGTGTAGCATCCCAGGGTCCTTCAGCCTCCAACTATATTTGCTTTTGTGTGATTTTCTGCAAAACAAAAGAACCGCATCATTTTTCTCTTTAACATCTATTCTTAAATTTTGCTTTACCTCAGAGATGAAGCTCATGGTATATGTTCTACAATCTTCTTTGTGTACCAACTGAATCGTGCTGCCTTTTCATTTCTCCTGAGCACTAAGTCTTATTTTATAAAATTCATACTTGCTGCATTGCAAGCAACAAATGAGAAAATTCTTCAGAGGAAAGACCTGAAGGGGGAAGGTGATACTTCCTTAGACCAATGTGAATGGCATAGGAGATGGAATATCTATATTTAATCTCTGCTCCCAATGATAGATTTTATTTTTCAGTTCCCACAGTTGTGCATATAATGCATGGATACCCATCCCTCTAGGTACTGCACCAAAATTTTATATGAGCTGAAGAATATGTACATGTAACAAAGGGAGTGTTTTCTTCTTTACTTCCTCTCTGACAAAATGCCAGAAGAAATGACCAGTCTCTTCCTCTAGCGCCTTACTAAGGTGACTGTTCTTTTTTTTTGAAATTTGGCATGGCAAGTGGAGATAGAATCTTAAAGGGATAAAGGGCCCTTATTCACAAGGAAATATGGTAAAGTCATCAATTTCTGAAAAATGGCAAGTGAGGTTTACATGCCAGGGAAACAAATTAGGCCCCCCAAATTAAAACCTAATATTATCTAATGTAATAAGTATTGCCATTAGGTCAAAGCCCTTTTATAGACAACTAGGCTAACTAGCTATATTATTGGTTGCAATTTATTAGGCAGTTAGAAGTTATACTTTAAGTACATTGCTAATTTTGTTTAAGGTTTCTGGCTGTATTTTTTCCATTTAACAGTTATACTGGCATGTCCTCAGGCAGAAAAAGAAGTTCTTACAAAAGATTCTTTAGGGCACACTATATTCTGTTTTTTTCAGATGTGTTATCTTTTGTTGTCTTGAGATTCACTTTGGGTTAGACTGAAAATTATGCAGTTAAAGCTGACAAGCAAGTAACAAGGCCTTAGAAAAGGACAGGGTAGGTGATCATTGACACTCCTAGCCACCTGAAAATGATGCCCTGGCAGACTCTCCATCTGCCAGCAGTGGACCAGCAAGGTAAACAATTCTTGCCACTTAATGACCACATGCAGCATTTGGTGCTCTTTCCATTGCTTGGCGTCTTCAACAAATCCAGTGCATCGTTTTAAGCATCCTAGAACTGCTTTTCAGACCAGATTGCTCAAATAGAGTCAATTTTGCAACAGTGAAATGGTCTTAAAATAGGATTTTACTCTAGGGAGAAAAATCCTCAACCAAGTAGTCACAGTGCACTTTGAATGACTAATTTAAGCCATTACATTACAAAATAAGGGATAAATCATACTTTCATAACACTATTGTACAGGAGCGGTTTTAATTTTAAGAGTCAAGCACCTACATCAATCTGAGTCTAAAATAATAGGCCCCTGATTTAAAATCTAACATTCTTTCACACTTCATAAAACTAAAAATAAAATTGTCTCAGCAAACACTGACCTATTCCTCCTGCCAAAGGACTGTATTGCAAGTGAAATTGGAATAAGAGGTCGCAAAACCGCAAAGTGCCAAGTTTACTATTTGTAGCTTTAATTGGTCTTTAATGGGGGGTGGGAGAGAAGATTCTATGGTCTGTAGAGAAAAAGAGATTTATTCGCCTCCTTAAATCAAAAACAGATTCCATGCTTCAACTGCCCCCTAATCCGCCCGCCCTGCCCCCACAGGGTTGTTTTTCCAAATTTCTGTATATATTTTACCGAAGATGACAGGTGAGGGAACGTCCAAGTGCTGTGTCTGGTCCACAAAGTAAATAGAAGGGTTAGGGCGGGTTATTTATAAGGCGTTCAGCCTCTAGGCTGTTTTTTCCCCCATTGGCATTTGGAAGCTTGAAGTCCTTTAGAAAAGCAGATTTGGCAGGAATGTTCTTTGTGCCTGCCTCCCTTTTTATGGGGGAGAAAGGGGACAGATTTATAATTTCAGCCTTGGGTGGGGAGCGGGAGTGGGGGGG